ATCATGCCGCCGACAACTCACACTGAGTACTGCCGGCAACTTTTTACGACCTGTTCTGTTCTGTTTTCATTACAATCACTCATAATTAATTATTAACCCCCGTCCCCTAACCTATGCCAAAACAAACGGTGCACGTTAGCAATTGGCTATTCCCCTTTTTCTTTTTCTTTTTCTTTTTTTTGTCAAAACCAAAAAAGGAAAAAAGGGGAGAGGAAAACAGTGAAGCCGAAAATGCAGAAAAGGATTGCACGGGGAACCAACAACAGGCAACAGGGCCTGTCTAAGGTTGAAAATGACAAACAAAAATTGTTGAGATTCAGAGTGTGTGATGATATTTTCTTAATTTTGATTAAAATCAAAACATATCTGTTGTTTATTCTCAATATTTGCAATTGAATAGGAATGATGAACTCAGTTCTCTTTGAAATTTGGATTAGTAAGAAAATGGAATATGATCTTCACACAACTTATTGGTTTAAGGTTTTTTTCAACTTATATTTTTAAAATACAAATTAAATTTATATTTATTATATCTTTTTATTATTAATTTATTTAAAAATTTATGAAAATAAAATTTATTTTAAATACTAATGTCACATAAAATAATTTAATTAAATAATTAATAAAATTAAAATTATTTTTTTTACAAATTAATAGTAAAAATGTATAGTAAATACACTATTAACATATGTCTTAAGGGCATATGTTAAACAATTTCTTTATTTAATTTTAATTTATAACTTTTATATATTATTAAATAAATATATATAATATTATAGATATAAAAATAATAAGTTATTAAATAATACATAAAATTATATAAAAAATTTATACACAAAAATTATCCCTAAATCATTTTCTCTCATTAAAGTTGACATGGTCCAATTCCAATCATAGGGAAATGTTCATGAAACAAGTGCGGACTTATATTTTAATTTGTTAGCTTTTGGTTATATGGTGGTTCATTTAAGTTTCGAATTTTTTTTTTTAGTAGAGTAAAATAGAATATTATTTATTTATTTTTTACTTTTAGCTTCGAAAAAGTTTTTCAGTGCTGTCTCTTCTAGAGTCACCCCACCATAAAACTTATGTGCTTTTAATATATATTCTGTAGCTTTTTTTAAAATTATGCAGTTTTGAGGAGAGTAGTGTTATTGAAACTATATAGTTGTTTAGAAAAAATTATTTTATTAAAATAACTTAATTTTAAGACAAAAATTCATAATGCTTACAGTAATTAACTCTCTTTATTCTTTTTATATTACAAAATTAAAAAGTATAATTTTCTTTCATCTCTTAATCTTAATTCATTGTAATTCAAATTTCAATTGGAGACTTTTAACTTTTTATTAAAAGATATTGATTATGATTATAATCACAATTTTCTTTTAAACATGTTCCATCACTTGGGGAGGTTGATAGAGGAAATTAAGGTCTTTCATGTGAATGATATCACAACTACATATGATAGATATAGACTCATTTGATGATTATTTAAGTATTTAAAATTATAAATAAAATAATTTTAGCAAAATGCTTGTCAAGTGAACAATTTTTTAAGTCATTAGCATATGAACGAGATAGCTCATTGGCTTCGAGCTTGTGAGTAATCTTTAAGGCACAAAAGAAATATAATTACAAGTGATATATAAAATTATAACCAACCAATTAAAATGATTTTAGTTAAAGTTTTTATTTATCTCTTAACTCTTTAAATTAAAGGTTATGTGATTCTTAATTGAAATGACGTTAGTTAAAAGCACATTTTTAGCATGGTGTTAGTCAATCACAACTAAAAAAAAACCTACAATTCTTAAACCCAAAGCAGTGTGGCTTCAATAAACAACTCTACAACCCATTTCAAAACTATATATTATTTTTTGGATGATAAAAGAAATTGTTTTTTGACTTTTTAAATTTTATAAACAAAATTATATAGTTTTAATTAATTTTAATAATTATTTAGAAACTAAATAGTTTTTAGAGAAGCACTTTGGCCTTTGGACCCAATGGTGTTGAGTCACATTTAAAGTGCATTTCTCTTTCCCAATAACGGTTTAAATCCGATCTCTTGTAAATTTATTAAAAAAAATAGATTTTAGAAAAACTTAAATAATTTTTATTTAAATGATATAGTTTTGAAATTTAAAATTATAATTTTTTTAGTTACCATTAACAAATGCATTTTTTATGTATTAAAAACTAATTTTTATTTCAATTCTCAATTTGTTTTATGAAGTGATAATAATTGTCACAAGACACAGGCAATAGAAAGTAACCAATATCAGCGAAAAGATCTTTTCCTGAACATTTCTCAACATCGGTTTCTCAACTCAATAAAATTTGAAATTTCCTGGCGAAAGAATGAAAAAAGAATTCAACAATAAGTTTAAAAAAAAGATTAATATCTCAAAAATGTTAATATGATTATAATGAAACAAAATAGCTCAAATATATATTTATATATA